AATGTTTACTGTAGTATAAAAAGCATTTATAGTAGTGATAAAACACTTTTGATATTTAAATTCCCAGATAGGAATATTTTTTATATTTTTTTAAAGGAATATTTCGAGAGTGATAAGATAAACTTTCTCTATTTTTTCATTTCCTTCCCTTCGGCTGGACCTCCCGCAGCGCAAAGAGGCTTCACTGTCAGGAGTATCAAGGATAATCTTTTCTCCCATTTTCCGTAGGGCTTCGTACTTAAGACTTCAAGTATTTGTCGCCGCTTCCTTCCGCCCTAACAGCAACATATTTCCACGAAAAACATTTCGAAATTTTCATTGTGTCATCTTTGGAGAGGGCGTGGCGTGGCGTGGTGCGGAACAGTTCATCGAACACTTGAGCGCGAGGCTGAACAATTGAATTGTTCGAGGACCACCAGGATCTCAAGAAGGACTCAAGTATTCAATTGTTAATCAACAGGTAGGCAACAACAGTTAGGATTAGGCTTAAGCGGGAGGCCAGGTAAGGCAGGTAGTTTAACTATTACAGTTACTTCATAGCCTACTTAAACACAGCGGGAGAGCCACAGAGATAAAGAGAGGTGAGGCGGGGGAGGTACATAGATAGACAGAGAGAGAGAGAGAGAGAGAGAGAGAGAGTAAGAAAGAGATAGAAGACAACTTCCTTTTTGGTGCATTACATCATTTACTTTTTCGTTTCTTTTTTTTAACAGTTACGTCTAACCACGCAACATGCCCACCCCGGCCACACGATCGATGGATCTCTCATGCCACACACTGTTGCAAGTAGAAAGAAAATTACCTAATTGTGTTGCATCGACAACAACAACAACAGCAGCAACGTCAACGAGCAGCGACTTTTTCTACTCCACTTCTTGCTTGGCTAAGCTGCCCCCTTGGCCACCCCTCCCAGCAGCAACTCCTCTGCCGTATGTGTGCCACATGCTGCAAAGGAAAATTAAAAATGTGCCACACACAAGCAAACGTAGTTTTTTCTTCTCCTTACATTTAGTTGCCTAGTTTAGTTAGTTAGTTACTCTCTCTCTCTCTCCCTCTTTCTGTCTTCCTCTCTCTGCAGTTCGTTTTGCCTCCACTTCGTTTCTTTCTCTTTGGCATCGTTAGATAATAGACAACAACAACAATAACAGTTAGTTGTTGCATTTGCTGTGTCGGCGGCATAAGTCAAGCAAGACTTCCTATATTTTGAAACACGTTACGTTCGTAACATAAATTCACACAACAGGTTACAACAATTCGCCTCTGCTCTCCGAGCCATTTGCAAAAGCTCGCCCTCTCTCTCTCTCTCTTACATACTCTCCAGCTTGATCTCAATTGCTTTAGCGGAGTTCGAGCTCGAATTCGTATGGGAAAAGTTTGCGGCGTTAGCTGGAAAATGTGATCAACGGCCATCGGAAAATGATTAATGTCATTGTCTATTGAAGATTTTAGAATTTTCACAGATCATTCTCAAAAGTAATTAAGCTTGAATTTTAATAAATATCTGAGCCCTAAATTAAACTGTTATTCAGTCATCAGGGATTGGTTCTTTAGAAAAATAAAATGTATAACCAAATTATCAACAATAAAGTATTGAGGGTTATACTGTTATAATTTCCATAAATCTAAATATGGACAGTAAAATTCCCAGATATTGGTTATTGCGTGTTCTAAGACATTTATACATACATACGGTTAGTCTCTTATCCTATTATATTTCGTATCAATTTATAAAAGTAGAATAACCATTTACTCAAGCAATTCAAGATATTGTGTGTTAGCAATTTGATACCACTGTGCAGTGTGTTGTGGGTGTATAAAATACTTCAAACAAGTTTGTTTAAAGTTTGGCCGAACAACAGATTTAGCTCTCTCTCTCTCTCTCTCACTTTATCTCTCCCTTCGTCTGTCTATCAGCTGTTATATAAATTTCGTTCAATTTTTGATGGGAGCCTTATTAACCGTTTTATGCCTGGTAATATAAGCTAAATACGATGAAAGAGAGAAACAGAGAGAGAAAAGACGATTGAGCGGCAGCTTGAGGAGCCTTGGTTTGATTTTCTTTTAGTGCCAATTCACACGATCATTTATTGGAGTTCAAACTCAACAAACTCGCACACACACACGCACACTCATGCACTTTCTTCTGCGGCGAATTTGAGACAGCATAAATGGAAGCTGCTAACATTTATGGCAAGTCAAATTCAGGTTAGTGTGATATTTGTGCACTATAAAATGGGTCGTTGTTGTTGTTGCTGCTGCACAAGTGGCTGTCATAATGCTGGCGAGTGCTGAGTGTGTGTGCAGTATAGTGTAAAGTGTTCACACAATACACATATGTGTGTGTATGTATATATATTGCAAAACATCAATATAGCACACAGCAACAGCAAAAAACAACACAAACAATGGGCGATAACAGCACGCAACAAGAAAATAAACCAACAACAACAGCGAGCAAACTAGCTAGCCAGCAAATACAATTGCTATGCGCAGCTACTTCCGCATGCAAGTTGAAACAACTAAAAGAAACTGAAAAAAAAAAAAAAACAACAACAACAGCCAAAGAAAAAGCGTCGACTGCGACTCATTCTCAATGCACTTGGATATGCGTGCATGTGTGTGTATGTGTGTGTGAATGTGACTCAAAGATCATGGCATAGCGTATGAAGAAGAAGTAGAAACGGCAAAGAGCAACAACAAAATGCGCTCGTTTGAAATATTGAGCCCTTTTATTAAACAGTAGAGACAAATGCGAGCCGAGAGTCACACAATTGCTTTAGTTTTCATATCAATGTTGTTTTTGTTGTTGTTGCTATTGCATAGGCACATGCTTCCTCTTTCTTTCATTGGTCTGCCTAGCATTTGCCTTTGCGCCACCTCCTTTTACCTGCTGCGCGGAACACTTTGTATACCTGTTTCTGCTCTAGCATACACTTGGGAGCATGTGTGTGTATGTGAGACTCCCCAATTGCCATGCTGCTGACCCGACAGATCGTCGTCGTTGTCGTCGTCGTCAACGTTTTTCCGCTCTCTTTTGCTACTTTGCTTCCGTACAATTTTTACGCTCTTGCTCTTACGTTTTAAGGCGTCGCGCGCGCATCTCTTACGTGTGCCGCGTCGTCACACACTCACCCGTTACGTTGCGTCGTCGTTTTTGTGTGGAGCAATGCGGAAGTGAATTTAATTTATTGTATTTACGCTGCCCCACAGACACAACAAACAGACAAACGGACAGACAGATGGATGGCTAGAGAGAACCAGGAAAGTTAACGGCTAGAAATCCATAAAAATTTTGTTGCTTCAGTTGGAGAGATGTCTGTTTTAAGCTAGTGTGCGTGCGTATGTGTATAGACGTATGTACGTTTCGCTAATTGGAGAACCGAACATGCTAAGTAAATAAAATGGGCATACACATATACATATGCAACTTATATATAAGAACACATAATCAAATTTATTGACGAAAATCTTTGCGTTAAGCAAAGGGTGGGAGGGTGAGAGAGATAGAGAGAGGGCATGAGGGAGCATGATCAGGTGCGATGTTTTCTTGACTTGAGCGTGCGTGTGTGTGTAGGTGTAGCTAAACCAGAAGCAGGAACTGTTCGCTGTTTCGTTTCAACAGCCGCAGCAGCACTGTTAACGTCGGCGTCGACAGCAGCAGCATGAGCAGGCGCACAACTAAACAGAATTCTGCTGTAACAGCAGCGCGATAAGATTTCGCTGACGTAGAGAAGATCGAAGAAAAGAGACGCAGCGAAAATAAAAATGCGCCAACAGGCAACAAGAGCAAGAACAAGAACAACAAACAAGAAGAACCGTAACATCAATCCAATTGGAGCTTAACGCTCCGCTTTTGTTTCACTTCCATAGAAAAATTGCTGCATGCAACAAGAGACCCGTCGAACCCAGAGCCCAAAAACCCAACGCCCAAAGCTCAAACCAAAAACCCAAGAAAAAAGCGAGCCAAAAGCCAGTCGACCGTTTGCCTTCAATATGGTTCAACAAAATTGTATGTGTACAGTGGACACACAGGCATGAAGAACAAGCTAATATTAGACATGATGAACATCTGAACAGAAACGATTATAAACATAAATTAATAAAATTTGCAATAAAACAGTAAGAGCTAGGTAATATTAGATGTGATAAAAACATAAATGAAATCAACAAAAATATTTATTTAAAACATGTATTGGAATTGATATTGCTCTTAGCGAGCGCACACTGTGCTAAAGCTTTACAAAACAGTTATAGTTCAAGCTTGATGGGAACTAAGAAACAAGCAAAACAGTTCATTTAGTACAATCAGCGCATTTGACATATCATTTTGCTTTAATCTTAAATTGAGAGGTGCGAAATCTTGAGTTCCGTATATATATTATATATATGTATGTGTATGTGAATATGAATGTATGCATATACGGAATATGTGAAGATGTGGTTTTCTCCTTAAAGCCTAAACAAATCTGAAATACAAACATAGATCTGCCAGAAAGATAAATTAAGACAGTGTTGTAAAACGCTTATGGAAGCAGGAATTCAGAATTGTTGACCTCTGAGTAGAATCGTTGTAAGGTGTTCTACAGATTGTCAAAGCATGAGGAAAACAGTAAAAAGCGAAATGTACGAAAGACAATTAAAGCTGGGAGATTAGCGATTCAAATTTATCAGCTAGAGCGAGTGACAACTTTTGCATGGGAGTGTGAAAAACGGGGGGAAGACGCCGTAAAGTGCGATATGAAATGAAACATATGGAAATAAAAGAAGGTCAGAAAGACAAGTGGAACGTGTTTACAAAAAATAAATGTATAAAAAAAAGGAAAGATATTTAATTTTTTTTTTTAAATTAAATTTTAAAATTAAAATGCTGTATTTAGAAAATCTATTTCCAATAATATTAAACAAATTATGCATGACTTTCTACCATGAGAAAATATTTCGTTCAACACACAACCCACTGTACACAGTTAGAGGAGTAGAAAATAAATTAGCTTGCTTACCTGTTTGCTTTTGCTCCACTGTGCCGTGACGTATTTCGTTGTTGCTGTTGTTGTTGTTGGTGTAATACCCGTTGTCTCTGTTGTTTGTTGTTTGCCGTTCTTATAAGCTTTCAACGCGGAAGCGGATATGTTTGTCCAGATCCAGAGAACGCGCGTTATACTTGTTGTTGCTGCTGCCGCTTACTGCCGTTGCTTCTTCTTTCGCTACTACTGCTTCGACGCTCGCTTGAACTACAACTGCAGCAGTACTACGTAACGTAACGTATGGTGAACGTCACGCAACGTAAATGCATGCACTTTGCTGTCGATTTCCTGGTTCTGCTGCGGCGTCGTCGTCGTCGTCATTCGCTGCTACTGCGACGCGACGTCAAGTGGCCATTGTGAAGAGACTAAGAGAGAGTGCGACGGGGTTCGGACTGTGGACTGCGTTACGTTACGTTAATCCTGTGTTGACCGCTGTTGCTTTAGGTTGCTTTCAAAAGTGTTTTGTATATGTTTTCTTATTTGCCATTGCAAAAAGCGAATGTCAGCGCCAAAAGGGAATGGCACACCGAAAATATAACAAAACACAAAAACAAATCGAGCGCAATCTGGAGACGTTTGCGGAGGAAGAGCACAGCCACAAAGAGAGCCCAAAGTACTTCCGTCTCACATACACACACACGTACACACAAACACAAGCACAGCGATGCACTTGTGCTGGTCCCTGCTGTTGTTATTGCTGCTGCTGCTGCTGTTGGCCCTTTTGCACCCGCGCTTCGTTTAAGTAGAAAACACACACACATACAACAATAAATAAACTGCTTCCTTTTCACTTTTGCTTGCACACTACTTGTTGTTGTTGTTTTTTATTCTTCGTTTTTGTTGCGCTCTGTTCGCCTAATTTTTGTTTATTTCGTTTTTATATTGAGAGAACAGCCACAACAGGAAAACTTGGCATACACAGTTATTTAGCTATTCTATGCTTTGTTACTCGATTCTCGACGTCGGTGTCGGCGGCGGCGGTGGCGGCGTCTTTTCTTCCACACTTTTATTTCGCCTCGTTGGCTTTTTGTTATGTTTTGATTTGTCAAGCGATAAATTCAACTTAAAAATTATTATTGCTGCAATTGGTGTTGTTGGTGGTGGTGCTGCTGCTGCCGTTGCGTGCGCATTGAATCGAATTCAATTAATTTTTGTTTAGAATATTTTTGCACAATTACAATTCGGTATTATAATTATTGTACAACAAATTTTGATTTTTTGATTTGTGTTTTTTGTCTTGTTCCGCAGCAACACGTCCGCTCACCACGAAAGTTTCTTACGTTGTGACTCAAAACATGCGAGTAAGAAATAAACAAAGCAAACGACGAATAGCTGAGACCGAGAGCATGCGCAATTGAGTGAACCAAAGAGCGAGAGAGCACATTGCATTTAAGAGCGCAGTCGTTCTGCTTGAAAAGAGAATCGTATGAAATTTAAATTTAATTTATTATTTCTTATTATTGTCGAAGTCTTCTTGTTCTTGTTAACAATATATGTATATGTTTCTTCCGAATATTTGCACGTTGTTTATTTCCTTTAACGCCGTGTATGTATGTGTGTACATACATACATACATACATACATATATAGAGGTTATTCAAAAATATCTTGAAATATGTATTTTTAACAAATTTTACAGGTGATCGAGATGTACATTTAATATGCATAATTAGTGGGTAATCGTTAATGAACGAAATCAAATTAAATTGAAAATATTTTCTGTAACTCTAAACATAGTTCCATAGTTGTGGGTGTTAAGCGTGGGTTGTCGATTGACTTGTTAATCAGCTGCGATAAAAGCAGATTATCGTTTATCAATGAGCTAATAGAATGTGGGCTGTATGCATGCCTCAGTTTTAATTAACCAACACTGCGGCGAGATTTCCGTTAAACAAAATCTTTTTTATTTGCCTGCATAAATTAGTGGCCAAGTCAAGCAAGAGCGCCGCTGCGTAAGAGCGGAAGAAACAGATAGAGAGAGAGAGAGAGAGTGAGAGATGAGACAGATCGATTGAGCGGGAGGCGGGGAGGGATTGACAGGTTGCCATAAAAACGTAGCGAAAGATGCGCTCAGTTGCGTTGCATCCGCTTGACATTTTTTGTTTTGTTTTGTCTTGCTTTTGTTGTTGTTGTTGCTTTGTCTTGAGTTGAAAAGTTCGTTAACCAGTTTCCCTCAAACAACGTTGACATTTGAAGTCAAATGCCCATAAACGGTCAGTGATCGGCCCTCCCGCTCTAACGCATTGGCCCAAATTAGTTTGCCGTTGTTGCTGCTGGTGCCGTTTAGCTTAAGCGAAGAGCGACACGATTTTAAGAGCGAGAGAGCGTGTGGCGAGGGCGAGAGAGCAGGATTGCGGTTCAGAGTTCAAATAGTCGTCCAATTGAGCCAATCAACATATTTTCTGCGATCAGTAGCAATCATTTCGTTTCGCATTGCACTGGGCGTGTGGGCGAGTGGGCGTGCCGACTGTTGGGTCGTAGGTGGCTGTTCAAGCGGCAGCTACTTAATTTTCAATTTGCTCATATGTGTGAGTTGGTGTATGCTGGTGTGTTGGTGTGCTGGTGTGTCTGTGAGTGCGCCTGCAACCTGCCGCCGTCAATCTGACAAAGTTTTCGTCTGTGTGGCACGTTGCAAGTTCGATGCCCAAGTGCAGATAATAATACATTAAAATAGAATGCCGCAATGTCCAGAGTGCACACACACACATACACACACACGCAAATACATTGAAACAGGCCAGACACAATTTTTAGTGCTCACCCCTCTCACATCCCTGAAGAGAGCGCCCGCGCGGGTGAGAGAGAGCGAGAGCATGCAAGAGCAAGACGTCGGCTCTATAAATAGTTTTTCTTTCTGTCTTTCGCTCTGTGCCCCGGCGATCTGTCCCGATGCGGAAGTCTTCCAGACGCTTCACTTTTCACTTTTTGGTCATTTGCCAATCGCACAAATTATTAGCACTAAAAATTTCGCACAGGGGGCGGGGGAGCAGCCATAAGACATCGAATTGCTGTCTATCTATATATCAACTGTGTGCTACATATACAGTTAGGATTTCCAGGCTGTCTGGCTGGGAATCGAGTGGAATGCTGTAGTAGATCATTGAGATGATAATGAATATATTCGGGAAAATTAATTAACGCTAATATAATAAAAGCTTTGCTATATATATATATACATGTTTATAAAAAGGATTTCTGTTGACATATGTTAGATGTAGATTAGGACATCTCTTTACAAGTACTTCATCCTTTAATCTTGTCATTCTGATTTAGCCTGGACGCTTCATAAATCATCAAAACCTTTTAACACATACATATGTATGTATGTATATAACTCTCCTGACAAAAAATCAAATAATTCAATAAATAATATATATATTTTATATCTATGTATGTATACATATTGTATTATCATTATTATAATATGTAGCCAATATCTGTACTATATCCATATTATTATTTCAAAAAGTGAACAATTATTCAAAAGTTAATTATTTTTAAATTATGCTCAGCCCACGTAAGAAATGTTAAATGTGTGTTGGAAATAGTCGGGAATTAGTGAGGCGTTATCCATGGACCACCTTCACAGAAGCAGATTTAAACGAAGCAGAAAAGTATTCCAGAAACACCCCATCCGTAGGGTCTCGAGTTGCTTGCGTTAATTAAAGTGGAAAAAGGATATTAAGTGCAGATCCTGGTTGCCCTAATTGTTACACATTTTCCCCATTATCTCACTCTCTCTCTCTCTCGAGAACAATGACTAATTGTTACGATCCTTTTTGACATTGTTGCCAGGCAGCAAGGCCAGAATGAGGATCAGGATATATATGTATGTATGTGGAGTGTATAGAATGTGCAGCCAGCTGAGCTGGAAAGAAGAAACCGTGGGAAAGGTGAACCTGACTCGAACAATGGAAAAACCGATCAAAAATCAAAGACGACCTGTGCAACGGATCGCCCACAAATCGATCCATACGCACACACATCGCATCTGAGTTTCGTCTCTTCTAATTTAGCGCCCTAAATGAAACTCAGCCAAGCAGAACACAAAGCAACAAACGAAATGCTCGACAACTTAGGGGTTGCTCGATCCTCACTCGATCGCCACAAGTGTTTGGCCTTTGGGCAGGTTTGCTTGCCACAGAGACCGGTGAAAGGTTTCAGATTTCATGCAACGAGTGCATTGTGCAACTGCCATGCGATATGACAGACTCGGATCGCAGCGATCGTGGCGATCGGAGCGATCGAGGCGATCGAGGCGATCGATCCTCCAGGCCAGGATAAACAGAGAGTGAGTCGCTGCTGTGGCTTCATGCAACGTGTGGAATGTGAAATTTTATCAATTAAATATCGCTGACACACACATACATACACAGATACACGAGCAGCTGTAATATAGCTGATCAGCGTAGATCAACAGCTAAAGTCGTTGCAGGCGAGGTTGGCGCTAGTAGCCAGTGCTGAGCATTCTTGGCTTGAGGTAAAAGCTGAATAGGAGATCTAGCTAGTTCAGTTAGTAATAAAGCTATAAAGCTGACTATTGAAAGTTGAACTATTTTAGTTCAAGTAAAAATAGCTCTGTAGGCAGATTAGTTCTTAATCGTAATCGTATATATAATTTTTATAACAAAATATTATTTTTATTTTTACAGTATGTTTATAGTATCTATACCTTTATATATATATATATATATATATATATATATATATATATATATATATATATATTTATACCCGGGGACTGTCGATACACGAATATGTATACTCAAAAGTATATTCTATGGCCCAAAACCCTTTAAAAGCAGACAATACTACCGAATATATGCTCTCCATTTCAATTTTGGCATCCATACAGAAAAATAGCTTGCAAGATGAATAGTGCAAGGAATCCAATATACGCCATTCATTCGAAATGGAGTATAAAATGTCATAATATCCGCTGCTTGCAGTCATACGCCTATAGCTGCATTTATATAAGGCTGAATTTGACGGGAAATAAGCTCGATTGCCAGCACTAGAAGACATTCCAACACACACACACACAGTTACACTCACTCACACAAGCAAAGAGAATTGGAAAATGCACAGACCACATCCGCTCAGCCGAAGGCTCCGCCGACTGCGAGCTGATCTCAAACTCGATCTCGAGCTCGAGTTCGATCTCGAAACTCAGCTACGATTTTTGTCTCGGTTCTCGAGTCGAGCCGAGTCTCTAGTCTCGGGTCTAGGCCATTCACTGGCTGCAGTTCTTGGAAAACGTTTAAAAGCAGAACAAGCAACAAAAACAACAACAAAGCAAATCAAAGATGATGAACCCAAAACGAATGAAGTGAGCAACAAAGAGAGAGTGAGAGAGTTGGAGAGCAATTGCAAGCGAAACAGGCAGATATCGGAGGAGAGCTGAGCACACGCACTTGAAAACATGGAAAATGGAAATGGGAAAATGGGAAAAAATGAAAAATGCTGTGTAATTAATTGCAGCATCGGTTCGTACAGCAGGTTTGCCTGGGAACATTTCTCAAAAGGAAGTTTATCCTGCATCCTTAACAAAGAAGCAGCAGAAGAAGCATTTGAAACACATGTCCTGCCCGAGGGCAAAGTGACAAAAGGAAATGCACATGAAATGCGACTTTTTATGAGCCAACAACAAACAACTGCTCGAACTGATGGAAACCTCACACAATAGCTGAGAAAACTGTGGATTTGGAGCGCAATTAGAGCTATTCACACTTTGAGCAGATCGAAAGATCGTTGAAGAGAGTAGTAGATTAGCAGTAGATATTAGGGTTGTGGCAGATTATATAGTAGTAGATATGAGAGTAGTAGAAGATAATAGAATGGTAGTACGTATTAGAGTAGTAGTAGATAATAGAGTAGTAGTAGATTCTGGAGAAGTAGTAGATAATAGAGTAGTAGTAGATTCTGGAGAAGAAGTAGATAATAGAGTAGTAGTAGATAAAGAGTACTTGTAGTAGTAGTGTGGATTTGTAGATTAAAGCAGACATAAGATCATTATAAAATACAAATAAAATGTGATCTTTAGCTTTTTCTTATCAGAGCTCCACTATAAATTTCTGATCGCAGCTTAAAGTGAGTTATCACTAATCTTTAAGACCCTAAATCTCGAACTTTATTCTCTACTGAGTTGGAACGTAGTTTATTACCAAAAAGTATTAATAATATTATATATTATTCATAGATCGGAATTATTAATCGGAACAAGTCGATCTAGTTACGTAGATCTATGCTTATTTCTTTATCTATGGCAACTTACCAGATGCATGTATCAATCTCTGCCAATAGATCCTGCTAAAGTAATCGCTCTCTTCCTCTTCCTTTACAGCTGACACTGTCCAACTTTTCTCACACAAAACTCCATCTCCCTCGTTCACATACCCCAAAAATTCCATTGCAAAATTTTGTTGAGGAGGAAGCATTGCAAGCTCTCAACTGCGACGTATACGATATACCATATACCATATGCCATATACCTACATACCCATATACCTATACACCTTCTGTCGTACGGTATATGCACTCGAACGGATCAGTTACATGCTCTTTGGCTCTTACGAGTTGCCCACCCACACACACGCACACACACACACACACACACACATACAGTCTTCTCTTTCGGCTATTAACTTTTGAGCTGGTTAGCAAGAGTTATAAATTGATTGAGGCATATATGTATGTACATGTATATATACAAAATATTGTCGGCATATATATCGCACTGCTGATTATATAACTTCCTCAACAAACACTCCAGACTCGAGTCGACTCCGAGACCCAGTGCCAGACGTTAACCAAAAAGTGTTACAAACACTGCAAACACGCTACCGTCTAATGACGAAGCCAAAGCCAAAGCCAGACGAGGCTGGAAGCCAGCCGAAACCGAAAACCAACACAGCAAAGCGACAGCAGCACCACTAACAACACCAACACCAACACCAACACCGTCAACAACAACAACATCAACACCAGCAGCGACACCCACTGCCTTACATTCATAATCTATTAAAAAAACAATGCCGAGAGGAGCCAAACAGCATCCGGAATTGTAATGCCAAAAAAAAAAAACAGGCAAAATAAAAAGTAGTGGAGTGCCTTAGGCTTAGACGGTCCGACTAGCAGATACCCAGCAAAGTCTGCTGATAGGTATTTACCTTATAATATATATTCAAAATGTTAACATTTTGATTTTCTAAATATATTATTTAATTTGAAATTTTCATTAGAATTGAGGCTAAATTTATTATGGTATTATGTGAGCTCTTCTCATTGTTATTTTGACTTTCTTTTTCATTATCATTGGTATTATTATAGTTAATCTCATTCTCATTGTGATGCTTATTCTATTTGATATTACTATACTTAGTGGTATAGTTATAGCTTTTGTCATTGTCATTAGCATTGTTATCATCCTAATCATTGTCATTGTCATTCTCATTTTCATTTTCTTTTCTATTACCAGTACCATTAGCATAGTTATAGTTATAGTCGTTGTCATTGTCATTGTTATTATCATTATCATTGCTATTGATATAGTTCTTATCATTATCAGTGGTATTATTAAAATTCGGTACCTTTTCGATTATCATCATCATGCTATGATTGTCATCATCATTATAATTCTCGTTCTCATTCTCATTCTCATTGTAATTATCATTATCATTGACGTTGACATTATTATTATGATCGCTTTTTCTATTAGATGTACGATACAGTTAACCACTTCATGTAACTACCAGCCAATATGCCCTATCGGAGCCATCCGCATTGGGTGCACCAAGGCAAAGAAAGAAAGAGGAGCAGAAGAATTCAGGTTTACAATGCGGTAATGCACAAGCAACTGAGCAAGCGCTCATTGAGTGGAGCCAGCTTTGGTTAACGGCTGCCAACCTGTCCGCGAGACTTGAGAGACGAGAAGCTGGGACCCAACAGTGGGTCGCGCATGCGCCATAAATGGGTGGGCAGAAGAAGACGAAGAAGAAGAAGAAGGTGATGGAAGCTGCAGCCAAAGGAGATGGCCAAGGGGAGGAGGCAGAGACTGGGGTAGAGGAGCTGATGATGCCGGCTACTGTGCCAGTGTTCCACATTTCGCATACGGAAATGTGACCAGGTCTTAGGCCGAGACTGAGGCTGCAACTGCGGCTGAGAGTCACCTGAGCTTTGGCTTGCCGACAGGTGGGGGTCCGGTTCAGTTTCTCACCAATCGACCGAGCACCTCTCACCCTCCCTCTCTCTCTGTCTCTCTCTCTCTCTCGCTCTCCTTGTCTGCCTCTGCCTCTGCCTGACTCTGTTGAGCTGTTTCCTGCTTTAGCTTCGCATCTTTTGCGGTTCTCGCACAACTTTCACCTTTCACGTAATCTTTTGGTCAGAGGCTGCGCTTATTGTTGTTGCCGTTGCTATCGAGGATTGGCTTTTAGGCTAGCACTGTTTATGGTCCAGCAGCTAGCGGTACATTGGCCGACTGCCTATTCCTATGTGATTGAAGCTGGCCAAATGATTGCCGCAAATTACATAGCCACATATATGTGGATCCATGCAACCAGTTGAGCGGCTTGATCTCGGATTCGCCCCACAGAGAAGCGTCTATATTTATCCCAGAGCTGCCACGGCACAGGTGAGTTCGCAGAGTGTGGGATTAACTGGCTATAATTGCCGCCTGTCATTATAAATAGGCTTGCAAGAGCTGCCTGCCAGCCAGATAAGAATAGACAGATAGCGCTATAATCTCATGGGAGGAATGGAGTGTAGAATCCTAATTGGAATTGCCAATTGGGAATCGTATGAAGTTGGATATACACTATAGCTCATATACATCTAGCTAAATATAGCCCATGTAGAAGGACTATTAGCATAATGTTACTCAAACTATCCTACAGAGGATTCTCTAATGCTAACTATCTATCAATAGGGGTCCTCTGAATTTTATGAATTTGTTATTATCGTTTATATCCAGATTTTCCATATTACCCCCCCTTTTGTGGGCTTTTCCTTTCTATCTCTGTTTCTCCGCCTCTGTTCTCTATCCTTAAATCTTTATAAAACTCGCATAACCAAAAGCCTCAACATATGTATATTAAATATTCTGAATCAGAGAATTTAAGTGCTCAGCTAAGGCATTAATATGTGAAACCTTTCTCACGCTTCCGCATTCCCCTTTCCGCTGCCCTTCCAAACCCACTCCTCTTCCGGATAACTTAGTCGCATTCCTTCGACCTCCGGCGCATATCGAAAACTTGAGCTCATATCCAATGGCTGCAAAATGGTTTTTAGTCGAAAGATGCGGAAATAGTCTACGGCATGGTTACGGAGGGAGAGATAGGGGTGGGCGTGGACGTGGGCGTGGGTTTGGGAGTGGCACAAAATTAACTTTGCATGGAATTTAATTTACGTCCACGACGTTGATTTCCTGCCAAAGCAACCGGAGCCGGAGCCGGAGCTGGAGCCGGAGCTCAAGCTGAGGCTGAAGCTGAAGCAGCTTCCGTCATTTCCTCAATGCAAAGGTTTTTTTATATTTTGTTGTTGTTGCTGTTGGATGTCCCTGAATGCCTTTGCCGGCAGCTAAGAGCCCAGCTCGCTTCCTGCAGGATGTAAAGACGTCATCGTCAGAGTCCTGCCAGCTAGAGTCCTGCCACCACTCTCCACCAGTCTCTGTTGTGTACATTTCAACGTCGAAGTCAGTTGTTTACCCACTTTAATCAGCCCACACGACTGGGCTGGGCTGGGTTGGGTTGGGCTCGTCCAACTGAATGTTTGCCAGGCAGTTCAGTCACAAGAGAGTCCTGCGAGTCCTGCCTGCTTGCCTGCCTGCCTGCCTGCTTCCTTGCAAATGCTGCAGCTTCCGTTTCCGGGATATAATGTTCATATTTTCGAGGACATTTACAGGAAATAAAGTACGTCGCCCTCCTCTCACTCTGTCTGGCTGTGTGTGTGTGTGTGTGTGTGTGTGTGCTCTCTGTGGGGCATATAGCCTCGCAAAGGACTTAACCCGGGCACCACCCACCCGCCCACTGCCCAAACACTTCCTCCTTTGGGGCACAGAGCAGCAGTCACAACTTTTGCCGTGCTCGCATTTATGCCAGCCCAGTCAAAGCCCGACCGTCAGTCAGCTACTACCTTACGCCCTCTTCACATTGCCACGCCCCCCTTTGGCTTTTCCGTGCTTCCGTAGCAGCCGTAGCAGCAGCAGCAGCAGGATGCCCGGCTGCAGAGTACGTTTTGAATTTTGTCGCACTTCCTGTTACGTTTCGCTGGCGAGAGAAAGGGCGAGGTGTGCTAGAGATGCGCACTAGTAGTTCAGCGCGGGGAACTAGTTCAGCACTGTTCAATTTGTACTGAATGCAACTGGGTATGAAAAATATTTGTCCAATACTTAAATTTAATTTTAAATTATATAAATTAAAATTTACTGTCAAATGATGGGTTTGTTCATATGAACTAGAAGTTAGTAAGGGTCTCGAAATCTTTATGTACTAACAGTTCTTTAAGTCTTTGATTTACTGTCACTTTTTTTATTTTTGTTCATAACATTTTATTATATTGCCAAATGAATCAGAAAACTCCTTAAATGGCTCAGCTGAACAATAAAATGAGTCAAATAAACAATAATAGAATAGAATGCAGCTTAGTTCAATGTTCAGTTCCCATTTACTTGCTCAGCAATTTCACTCAAATGTTAAATCCTCTTGGGACTTTAATTTTTAATTTTTAATGAAAAAGGAAATTTGTTAGTGCTCCAGCAGAAATGCCCTTGGGCCGTAAATAATTGTCCCAAAATGAACGCCTTACTCTAGAAATGAATGATCAAATGAACGTATATCGAATGCTCGCTCACACGAACCAAATGTGAACTTGTTGGTGCAGCGCTTTTGAGCGAATGGCGCCCGCCTCCCATTTTTCACGTGGGCGCCGAGTCCTGCCTGAGTGCCCCCCGTCGGCAAGAGAGCTGCAGAGCTGCGTGCTCTTCCGCTTTTGCTCTGTCATCAGCAACGTAATTTCCGCTCTTTGTGTCTCTGCACGTGGGTGGCAAAACAGAAAAGGATTACGAGCTAAGGGAGCGACGCCAAAAAGCGAATGCAAACAAAATGCAAAAAAAGCAAAACAGAAAAAGAAGAAGAAGAAGAAGAAGCTGAAGCTGAAGAGAAGCAAAGGCAACTGCTGCGATTGACCTGCACGCAAAGTTCATAAACATCAAGTGGCGGGCATATCAAATGGCCAAATGGTCAGTGGCCAGTGGCTAGTGGCTAGTGGCTAAGGCAACAAGTGATCCGCGCCCAGTTGGCAGACAGGTATCAACAACAGCAACAATAACAACAACAGCAACAACATTGTCCGGCTTGGCAGTTCATCAAATTCTCATGTGACCAAAGCCCAAAAGGTTCAATTCGTATGAAATTTGATATGCGCTTCACATATTTAATGACTTCTTTTCACATTTTACATAACACTCGATTCGATGAACTGACGACAGCCACGCCTCCGCCCACCCCCCACCAAAAGACCTCAGCACCGACTCCAACTCCAACTCCAGCTCCAGCTCCAAGCAGCGCTGTTGCACCCAGTCACTTGTTGGATTCTAGGGCTTGGCTTCGGAAATTCCCATTCCCGATCATGGCGACCCTTTCCAGCAGTGTATGTGTGTGTGTGTGTGTGTAATCCAGGCGCGTGATGGAACGCCGGACAATGGAAGTGCCACTGGAGTGGGTGTGTATGTGTGTGCGTGTGTGCCTGTTGAGCGAACGAATGCATTTGTATGCAGCGTGGCGGATGCGCCGGGCGAAGCGTTTATTTCTTCATTTGACGCAAATGATGTTCGACACAAGCCTGGAATGCACTAAACCGCTAGCTAAGCATAAACCGGAGCCGTGATCCCCCAATCCCAGCGCTGAAAACCCAAAACCAAAAACCCAAAGTCGAGTGTTGAAACTCGCAATCGAAACCGAGCTCAACTCCTGAGTTTTCTGACCGCAGCCGGTGAAGGGCAGACAAAGGAAACGAAAGGGCGTACGCAGGCGGTGGCGGTGGCAATGCCAACAATAACAACAAGTGCCCAAATACACTGCACGAAAAATACTAGCCAAAGGTCAGAATACTTATGCTGATTGAAGATCCGAAGCGAATGCCATTCTGGGTTTTGTGAGTATAATTGCATCATTCTGTGATCTATTGATTTAAGATAATTAAGATATTTAAGAATGTATCTCAAAAACTAGCTCATATTTTTAACATCATTAATAATATACGATAATTAGATATGCATAATTTAAGACCATTGGAATGCGAATTCTGGATATATTGATTTTATGTAAAAGCAACAAGCAGAGGAGCTTAGCATACATTACAGAGTATATACATATATTGCTGAGTAAACCATACTAATTAGAGAGTTCATATGCAGTACGATGACTCATTTCATTTCCTAATTTTCAATAGTTTCTTGACAACCACAAAAACTGAAGATTTCGAATTTACTGTGTAAGCTTCTGTGATAAACGTACGAGTTTGGGATATTTCAAAATCTTCTTCCAAATTCACCATATTATAATAGATTGGTATGAGCTATCTAGCTTAGATTTACACTAGAATATGGTATATGCATTTACAGCCATACACACATATGTACCTAGAGATAATCGTAGTATGGAACACACATTTTCTCTCAGTGCACGCTTCTTGTTATTTGAAACCCGGATTTAAACAGAACATGAAAAAGAAAGAACAACGAGTCACAAATTACTTTTACCGATCACAAAATCTACAACAACAACCAGAAAAGAAGAAGAAGAAGAGTAATAAGAACAAGAAGAAGAAGAAGAAGAAGAAGAGACATTGTCGAGGATGATGACAACTCCAAGTGAAGTGGACGCCAGCTGAATGCAAATGCACAAATTAAGCGACGCAACAAACAAATTTCCTATGTGGACAAAATGCACTTGCCCAAAGGTTGTCCCGATGCCATGCCCGATTTATATATATGTACGTACATGTGTACATGTTCGATATCCAATATCCCAAGCCAAACCAATTGTGAATGCTAAATGAAATTCTGCTTGGCGGTAAATGGACATTATTTTTATGTACATATATAAATTGGAATTTTTTGAAAGGCCGCCAAGCCGGATGAACTTATTGTTTATGAACCTTTTTCCTTTGAATTGCTAAGCGGAAAAATCGAGTGGAAGGCGTTTCTTTGAAGTAAACTGAAAACACAGTTTTAAAAGATCTTGGTATATGTAGATTGATGCATTAAGATAAATAGATAGAATCTTCCTATCTCTAATTATCATAAACATTACATTACCTATCATCTAAAAGAGTCTAAAATTACAAATATAATAATTACTTTATAGTTTAGATTGTTAAAAAAAAAAAAAAAAAGTTTTTTAAGTTTTTTTTTTATATATTTAAACTAATCGATATAAAAATTATTATTTTTCTATTTTACCGTTTTTTTTTTTTTTTTTTGACTTGAGTCAAAATAAATTTCACAAACATTATGTGAAATTTAATGAAGATTAAAAATAATGAAGGCAAATTTAATTGATTTATAAATTATCTTAAGGCTTTCAATATAAGCTCACGAATTCCTCAAACCACTCTCGCAGTTGTTTTTAATTTATTCATTAAAACGTTGTTATGCATATATTCAAACAATTTAATATTACTAAATTATGAAAATAAATTTTAACTGACAAATTTACAGTTAAATTTTTTTCAGTTCTTTCAAGATAAAAGACACTTAACGAAAATATCAATCTGTATATAAATCTGAATAAAACAAAAATCATTACGTTTCATTTATATAAAAATGTTTATATATTGCATATAACTATAACACAAAATCGATTAGTTTATAGAAGTAGACTTTGGATTTCTTAAGAAATCTAAATGATTATTTTATCAATATATTTTTATTTCATTTATATAAAAGATTTTATATATATATATATGTATGTATATATTGCTAATAGCTACAACAAAAAGGATAAACAATTAATGAATCGAAATAGATTTCAGTAAAATCGAAGCTTGTCAATTGGGGAGAGCGAAAACTGCTCCACTACACTACGCTACAAGTTGGGTATATGCACACACACACATATGCACGCATGTGCATATATATGTGATGTGACTGCAAATATATATATGTATGTTATCTGCTCTAGCAGTTAATTGTAACACTAAGTTCTCAGACACAATCACGCCTAACTCTTATACAAAAACTGGAAGCTTATAAAAATCTTATAAAAATGTCATTTCAACACAAAAAGAACTTATGTACACCAGTGTGGGTGGGTGGGCGCTGCACACCTCTCAGAGCAGCAGCAGGAGGCGATCAACGAGCGTGCCGGTCGGCACCTTGTCCAACTCTCAGAGACCCGTGTGACTCGTCTGCAGCTGCTCAATGGAAATGGACAGCTGTTCCAGGCGCTGCATCAGCTGCAGCATATTCTCCTGCGCTCGACTCGTGTTGAACTCCTTGCCGTGCTCCAGCGAGTCCTCCTCGGCGGCAGCCAACTCGAAATGCAATTTAGCCAGGCTCTCCTGTTGTTCGCGTATTTTGGTCATTTGATCCATGGTGCAGCCAGAGCCTAGATAAAAGGAGCTCGGATTAGCATATATGTACATCTATACCAATCTATATAAAATAGTTACCAAATGCCTTTAGCTTGCCGGAGTGAAAGTCATCCAGCAGGCCAAGCAGCGCTCGCTCCATATGCTTCACATCGGGCACTTCGGAGACAAAGGAATGATGTTTAATTGGACGATCGTCGAACTTGTCGCTGTGAATGCTTGGATCGGCCATTGGAATATGCAACTGCTGCAAGGGCGGCGGCAGCGGCTTTGTCGAGCTATTGTTGTTGTTGTTGTTTACTTTAGAGCTATCATTGTTGTTGTTGTTAGGTGTGGGTGCATCTGGCGTTAGCCACTCGCTGCTGACCAGCGTAATGCTATTCAAACTATGCTGACTGGTGCTGTGCGTTGGCTCTAAAGGATTTCCGTCTGCATTTCGCATTTAAAATCAAAATCATGAAAATAAAAATAAAAATCAAAGCAAATAAAAATAAACAGACTAAATGAAATGATAAATAAGGAAATTATAGCAAGGTATATACAAACTATAAGGTATACAATTCAAAATTAGGTTCAAATAATACATATATACAAGGAATATCAAACTAACTTTTCAATTGAGAATAAACTTAAAATTAAATTAAAACTTTGTAAACATCAGCTATCACATCAACTATAAAGCAATAAGCTGTCTATATCTGCATATATTATATAAGTCTATAATCAAGCTAAAAAGTCTACATCTTTAGTATAGAGTCGATGTCTATGCTATATAATGTTTACAGTACAGTATGGAGAGTCTATATCTAAAGTACATAGGCTTTATATATAGTATATAGAATGTATATCTGCATAATTAACAATTTCTAAACAAATCACATAATTCCAAAACTTCTGTAATTTATCTCTACTTATTCATATAAGCTAAAATGACAATAAGAACTAGTTTAACTAATCTTTACATTAACTCTGATTCCAAGCATAGTTTCTCTAACTTATTGAATTCCCTTCAGCAATTCACGCAATTTACACAATTTTAAAACACATAAGAAAAAAGCTTAAACAAATCACAAAATTACGCAAATTCGCCACAATAAAATAGCAACTGCCTGTTCCAAGCACAAAAAACCAAATGCCAGACGACAAATCCCACGGACTCTGCTGCCCCCTCAGCTCCCCCTCCGCTCTATCGAAAGACGGAGCCACTAGGCAAATGGCTTGTAATTTAAATTATTGAAATTATAACAGCTTGTCGAAATTCCCCTCCCTTTTGTATTTGAGTGAGTGGGTGGGAGCACGCCCGTGTGTGAAAGACTAATGTGTACAACATATGGCTCTAGAAGTGCGTCACATGGCTTTTGATGTTACTGTTGCCGCTGCCGTCGCCGCCAACAAACGGTTCAATTCCTTGAGAACCTCCACAGCGACTGGAAGTTTAGAGGAAAAACTGAAGCATGCTTCTTTACACTTATCAGCTTACCCTTCAGCAGCTTGCGCGGACGCGTCTTGAACTCGAATCGCTCTTCATTGGCCGCGCCGCTGTTGGGCGCATGTGGGCGTGGCCGGCGCTCATTGACGTATTGCAACGTAGTCTTAGCAGAGGGCTGACCCTGCTGTTGTCCTTGGCCCTTCTCTGATATAGTGCGTTCGATGGAGCACGAGGCTGAATTGCGGCTACGTGTTGTATCGCCACTCGAAAGACCTTTAAGCTGCATTAAAAAATGGAAAATCGTAAATTTTGTCAATTGCAAATTGGGCGTGTGCCATTTACATTGATCTTTGGCACAGTGACGGGTGTTGCAGGTGTTTGCGCTGATTTCGCTTCCTCCTCGGTTTCCACATCGTTGGGCACCAGCTTTTGGCGCTCCACAACCTCATCATTGGGCTCCATTTCTCTATTTATTTATATTTTTCTTCCACGGTTCCACAAAGCAAAACTAAATGTATTTTTGTCTTTGTGTGTGTTTAACCATTCCCAATGAAGCGTGCACAATCAGCTGATTACGATTTAGAGTGGCCATAAATGACAAATTATCTAAATCAACCCTGTAAGCTGACTGCACAGGGTGCTTATAAGATAACTTTGGCGCGAGGTTTAAATAAATTGAGTTTATTTCTATATTTTTATTGCATGAACTGCTTGTTTATATACATATAATGTACACACTTATGCCTTTTTCTTGCTGAAACCCATTGTGTAGATCATGTGGGCAATGCTTATTAAGCCCACGCCGCACAGAGCTGCCGTAATGCCAAATAGAGCCTTATCGGCGGGTCCGCCCTTAAGGAACACAGGCAAATCATTGACAGCCTGCAAGAAATGTTGTTAACTAAAAGAAGATACTTAAAATATATGTTTAAACTGCCTGGAAAGTCTTCATTTTGCCAGCCAAACCTTCGGGTAACGCCATTATTTCTGATGAGTATTATGTAATTTGCTGAAAATCCATTAAGAATAATAATATAAGTGAAATAAAGTAGAAGGAAAATGAATTTTCACAATTATGAAATCAATTATAATTACTATAAAATATATTTAAAATATTGTTATTATTTTTATATGTAAACCAAAGAACTCACTTTTCAACTTTTTCAACTCAGCAACAATTCTCAATGTTGCGAATGTAACTGACAAAAATAGAAACTTATTTCACAGATGTAGCTGCAGCTGTTAATAAGGGAATTGCAATTGCCAAAGTGCCAGTGTTGCCAGCTGCATGCATTTTCCAATTCAAAAATAAATATCCAATCAGTCTGAGAGAGACAGAGAGAGTGAGACAGTCACACACAACAAACGTGACTCGCAATGGCTGCAATTCAAATCAACCGGCTCGCGGAACGACCGAGGGACGTTGTGAACGACCATTTTTCGATTTGTACGGTTCCGTTCGCGCTATTTTGGCTTTTTGTGAATTTTTCAACAGGCGCGCAGCGAAAGCTGGCGGCGAACAGTGTTTTCTGCACAGCACTTTTCAAAGAGTGCGTGCGAGCGCGCAAGCACGTGTCGCAACAAAAACTAAGCACAGCCGTTGTCTCGCTTGCTCGCGCACTGCCGCCAGCGCCAAAAGCACTCCGAAGCATTTCAGTGGCGCGGCCGCCTCCCGGCGTTTCTGGCAGCCTGGTGGGGATTACAATAATTCTACACCGAATGAGTTGTGCAATTTTTTGCGTCGTCGTGTGTGCACACTCAATTTTGTAGACCCAACGAAGTGGGCAGCCGAATTGAACGAGCATGCAAGCTAACGGAAAATATGGCGAGCCGATTCGAATTGGGAATTAAATAAATATTGTTTACAAAAATTCGAAATGGAACGGGCTTTTGTGGAAGAAAGAAATATATAGGAAAGAAATATTGAAACAAAGCAGAAAAAGCTGTTTAAGCTCTCGCCGAAATAAACGCTTACGCTGCTGGCTCGAATGGCGGCGGATCGCAGCGTCTCTCCCCGCCACGCCCCCCATGGGCTGACCACCCATCAGCTGTTTTCTAAATAATACACACAGAAAAGATATCGCCCTGCTAAAGCCTTTGCTGATTTTTAGCTCCCAGTACAAGAACTTTCAAAATCTGTAGCTTCCAAACAAAATTAACTTGCCAAAGTTGCGAAAAGCGATGACGACGCTGACGGCAACGGCGGCGCCGGCAGCGCCGTCGACTGCAACTTTGGTTTTCCGAAACTTGAAAAAAGTTAAATCTGCCAAGTTCACCTCCGCCGAGTGCTTTTATTATTGCTGTCGCAGCCGCTGCCGCCGCCCATGTGTTGTGCGCGATTCTTCTTTAAGCACACAAACACACACACACACGCTCAGAAAGAATATGCATGCTCTTCACAGTCTGCCTCTTCAGTGCCTTCGTTCCTGCTTGTGCTCGCGCTCTTCCTCTGGCGTTCCAAAAAGTTCAAGCTTATTTTAAGTTCTAGACTTAAACTTGTTTCGTAAGCTGCTCGAGTTACATGCGCACACACATACACACACACCTACATGCTCATGCATATACCAGTAAAAGTTTTCTGAGCGGAACTTTAACCAAATGCATTTTTCATCACAATGAAAAAGTTCTTTGCATTGAATTATGTATTTAATTATTTAAAATAGTCTTAATAAGTGCAGCAAAACCTAATATATACATATGTGCATACATATGTAGATATAAATTGGAAATATTAAAATATTATAAAGCTGGTTATTTAAAATTTTAAAACTTTAACTTTTGACTTAATGAAAATACATCATATATGTAAATCAAATACATCATCCTTACTTTTATTTGCCTCTTGTATTTAAATTGATATAATTATTTATTGAAATATTATAAATAATTACCAACAAACCATTTTGTTTTAATTATATTTTCTAGTGTGGGATTTATGCCAATGTATAATTAAGATATTGAAGTTGGCGCTAAAAAGCACATCAACAGCGACGAACACCTACATACACACACACACACACTCAGACACACCTCAGCGACGTATAAAAAGCACTGTTGATGCTTTGCTCAGTGCTTAACGAATCGAAAGTTTTTTATCAGAAAGCCAAAAAAGAAACACAGCAACTAGATATTTTAAATGGAACGCAGTGCATAAGCTATACCCGGCTCAGAACAAGAGCTTATTTACAGTTATGTACATGCTGCTGAGCGGAAAGAACAGGGGGCTGGGTGGATTAGACAGCCATGAAAGTTCTGACAAACGAGCTTAAAAAGCGATTCAATACGAAACGAGCCCAGAAAGAACTTTAATTAAAATGTTATCAGCAAAGTGATGAATAACTATACATGTATATTAATATAGTATATCTAGTCATTATTATATATGTACATACATATATTATGCATACAAGCGGTAAAGCTTTAGAAACAACACTTTGGTAAAATATAAATTTAGCTTTTAAAACTTTGACAAAGTCTAAATCTCGATGCGCTTAAAGCTTAAGACATTGTCAATGCCAAAAATGCAAACAAAATAAGCAATTAATTGATATTATAAAATTGATTATTAAATGTTTAAACAATGCAATTATCATCTCATACGACTCAACACAATGACTCCAATTAGACAGCGTTTAAATTCCAATTAGCGCTTTGCAAAATCAAACAATCTCGGGCTGCGTATTTTTTGTTGCGCTCACTCGCCGGCTGCCTGACTGCGACGGCCTGTCTCGCCTATCTACTCCTTTTCCTTTTCACAAAACAAAATGGATTGCTCTTTAACTAAAACAGTTAGCAGGCGCTCAGCAATGGCGGCAAACACAGCGCCGCTCAGTGAGAACTGCACACAGCAAACACGTGTTTGTATGTGCGCAAGGTATATGCACACCCTATGGTTGTCTCGCTCGCACTGCACACTGGCGCGCGCTATTTTGGCATTCACAGTTGCTCAGCGCGAACGCTCGATGTGAATCAATGGCGTATTTTGCAGCCTGCGTTCGCTGCTGCGCGCCTGTTGAAAAATTCACAAAACCGCTACGAATATAACGCATTCACACTATTCACTCACTCACTCGCTCGCTCGTGTACTCGCACTCGTTTGTGGTCGCACTCTGTCGAGTACCGTTTACCCACTGCCGGCTACCGGCTACCGGCTGCCGGCTGAGTGGTTCTACGAAAACTTCTGGCCTTTTGTCGAGCAAGTCGCAATAATTCCGTTTTTATTCAAATCTGAGCTGCGCTCATGAATAATTTACGTAAATGCATATTATACATATGTTTACATACATATTATACATATATTTACATAACTATATTTGAGTATTTATTGAAAATTTCTATAGGCAGAGCGAGCGCGGCTAGGTTAATGGCATTTTATCTTATTAGCAAATAATTCACAATAGATAAGCGAAAACAATCATAATTTTTTGCATGGGCTATAATGAGTACACTCATTGCATTAAATATGACTAAGTACAGTGGGCATAATTTAACAGTTGATATTCGCTTTTGATTTCATTTGCGAATTGAGTTCGATGCGGCTCGCTGTGGCCAACTGCAACTCCAGTGGCGACTGTTGTAGAGGCCAGTGTTGGGCAACTCTGAAGTGAATAGTGAAGCAAAATGGTGCTAGTACAGTGAACACTACTTGGCCAAATCCACCTGAGTTGTCGCAACAACAGCAGCACCATGTTCGGTGCCTGTGGCTGACGTCGATTTGGCTTTCGAATGGGGGATGTTGTAAAAAATGTTTGAACTGTTTTAAGTTTAAGTTTTAACGGTAACAGTGACGCAGAAGTGAGCAGCAGGTCGCTGAGCGAAATAAACGCGGACCAGTGTGAATGTGAGTGAGCTGCAAGTGTGTGACTGTATGACTGTGTGCGGTGTATGTGAGATTGGGAATGCGAGTGTGAGTAGCGTGTGCTTGTGTGCGATTACCTTGGCATTGAAATAAATTGACACATGCCGACACACACATACACATACACGTATGCGAATGGCGAATCCGAGAGAAGTTCATTAACTCTTTAACATTTGCAGCGGTCATGCGCTGAGGTGAATTAGACGTGTTGTTCTTGTTTTTGTTGGTGTAGTCAATGCGTGCGTGTGTAAGTGAGAGAGCAGGCTTAAGTGCTGCTGCTTCGGCATTTGCTTTTGTGTGCGGTTCGCCTTTTTTTGACTAACCGAAAATGCTAATTAGTTGCCCTTGGAATTGAGAGAGCGAGAGCGTGCGCGAGCGTCAGAGTGAGTGTAACAGCTAGAACTCACTCAAATGTTTGCGCTGGCAACGAGCTTAGCCGCCCGTTTGCTTCCCCTTCAAGTTTGTTTACTGTGTGTCTGTGTTGGTTGTAGCAACAGTAGTAGTAGTTGCTGTTGTTGTTGTGCTGTGATCACGATTTGCTTGCTGGCTCTTTTTGCTGTTTTTGTTGCTGTTGCTGTCAAATGTGTTTCAAAGTCAACGTGTGCGAGAGCGAGACAAACGCGCTGACCCAACCTCAATCAAAAGAATCACCTTGTTGTGTGCGTGAGTGTGTGTGTATGCGTGTGATTTGCCTCAATTGCCCCCTGTATGTGTGTTGTTGTTGTTCTGTTGCTGCTATGTGTGTCGTGTTCTGTTCTGTTCTGTTGTGTGCTTTTTTATCATCTAAGTGGCTGTGACTGTGCCTGCTGTTTGCCTGCCTGCGCAGCCTGCTGCTCCCGTCAACATTTAGAACACTATACGTACATATATATTTGTATATTTGTATATGTATGTACATATTGTATATATGGGGCGAACACGGAGCTTATATAGAATCATCATCGACGTCAGCGTCGCTGCCAGCGAACGGGGCAGCATACGCCCTACAAATTTGCTGTTCGCCTATTCGAAAATTTCACTAAAAATTGTTTACTCTCTCGTTTGGCACGAAATGAAAGTGTCCTTTGGCCCCACCAATGCTTTGATTCCTATTCTCTTACCCCTGCTGCAATGCAGCAAAACTTTTCGACGGCGACGCTGTCCCATGCTGTGAGAGAGAAAGATAGGGGGTGCCAGAGAGAAAGAGAGTGAGATAATGAAGGGGGGGATTTGGGGGCGGTTGCTGGCACACCTGCTTAGCAGATGGGTTCTCGATTGTCGTTTGGGGGATCAGAATTCGGCAAATGCAAATCGCACAAACTACAGAGGCGTGCGCACAAAAGGATGCGTGCAAAGCATTATGAGCTCGAATTTATTATTCTCAAGCATTAATGTACTTTTTTGAAACACTTGAAAACCCTTTAAT